CAATCCACAGTCTCTAAAATGAAACACACTGTTGGAGTAGGCCATCCTTAAGAAGGAAAATGTTAACTTAATCAGCTTTTTGTGGTGGAGCCTGAATAGGTACAGTCTGTAGAACAAATGTCTTCCATTTTAGTGCAAGGCAATGTTTTAGTTGACAAAAATTTTTAGCAATATTTGTCTTTTCAATTGAGGTTATTTTATGGCAAACAAAACAATCCAAGTACTAGATGTCCCTTTATAGAACATTTTGCCAGAGGAATATCTTAAGACACCAGGATTATCACTGAAGCCAAACTACCAACTAGAGCCCAGATAGCTCAGTCTGTAGAGCATCAGACTTTTAATCTGAGGGACCATGGTCCAGACCGCAGTTTCGGCAAGCAAGGACAACCCTTCCATTTGATAACACTTTAAGTACTTTTAGCAATCTCATCATACAAAGTACACGCAGTTTCTGGAGAGAAACACATTGTAGGAGGAATATTTTTAGGAACCAGGATTATCACTAAATCCAAAATGCATTCAAGCGCCCAGATAGCTCAGTCAGTAGAGCATAAGACTTTTAATCTAATGGTCCAGTGTTCAAGTCCTTGTTTGGGCAGGGGAGAACAATTCTACCTTATGATAACAATTTAAGTACTTTTAGCAGTCTCATCGTACAAAAAGCTTTTTGCCAGAGGATAATCTTTAGAAACCAGGATTATCACTAAAGCCAATATAACAACTAGAGCCCAAATAGCTCAGTCGGTAGAGCATCAGACTTTTAATCTGAGGGTCCAGGGTTCAAGTCCCTGTTTGGGCGGGTAAGAACAAACCTACCTTTTGATAACACTTTAAGTACTTATAGCAATCTCATTATACAAGAAGCTCTCTGCCCGAGGATAATCTTTAGAAACCAGGATTATCAGTTAAGACAACACACCAAGTTGGTAGAGCATCAGACTTTAAATATGAGGGTCCAAGTTTAATTCCCTGTTTGGAAGAACAAGAACAATCCGCAGTTGCTTATAAGTAAAGTATTGTATGAGGTGGCCATCCTTAAGAAGGAAAATGTTCACTTAAACAGTATTTGTGGTAGAGTCTGGATAGGTCAGTCTGTAGAGCAAATGTCTTCCATTTCAGTTCAAGGCAATGTTTTAGTTTACAAAAAATTTTTGCAATTTTTGTCTTTTTAATTGGGGTTGTTTTATGGCAAACACAACAATCCAAGAACTAGATGTCCCTTTATAGAACATTTTGCCAGAGGAATATCTTAAGACACCAGGATTATCACTGAAGCCAAACTACCAACTAGAGTTCAGATGGCATTGTCAGTAGAGCATAAGACTTTAAATCTGAGGGTCAAGGGTCCAGGTCCCTGTTTGAGAGGGCAATAACAATCCTATCTTTTGATAACACTTTAAGTACTTTTAGCAATCTCATCATACAAAGTACACGCAGTTTCTTGAGAGAAACACATTGTAGGAGGAATATTTGTAGGAACGAGGATTATCACTAAATCCAAAGTGCATTTAAGAGCCCAGATAGCTCAGTCGGTAGAGCATCAGACTTTTAATCTGAGGGTCCAGGGTTCAAGTCCCTGTTTGGGCGGGTAAGAACAAACTGACCTTTTGATAACACTTTAAGTACTTTTAGCAATCTCATCATACAAAGTACACTCAGTTTCTTGAGAGAAACACATTGTAGGAGGAATATTTTTAGGAACCAGGATTATCACTAAATCCAAAATGCATTCAAGAGCCCAGATAGCTCAGTCAGTAGAGCATAAGACTTTTAATCTGATGGTCCAGGCTTCAAGTCCTTGTTTGGGTGGCATAGAACAATTCTACCTTATGATAACAATTTAAGTACTTTTAGCAGTCTCATCATACAAAAAGCTTTTTGCCAGAGGATAATCTTTAGAAACCAGGATTATCACTACAGCCAATAAAACAACTAGAGCCCAGATAGCTCAGTCGGTAGAGCATCAGACTTTTAATCTGAGGGTCCAGGGTTCAAGTCCCTGTTTGGGCGGGTAAGAACAAACTGACCTTTTGATAACACTTTAAGTACTTTTAGCAGTCTCATCATCCAAAAAGCTTTTTGCCAGAGGATAATCTTAGAAACCAGGGTTATCACTGCAGCCAACACACCAAATAGAGCCCAGATAGCTCAGTTGGTAGAGCATCAGACTTTAAATCTGAGGGTCGAGGTTTGAAGTCCCTTGTTTAGAAGAGCAAGAACTATCCACAGTTTCTCAAAGGAAACACCCTGTAGGAGGTGGCCATCCTTAAGAAGGAAAATGTTAACTTAATCAGTTTTTTGTTTTGGAGCCTGAATAGGTACAGTCTGTAGAACAAATGTCTTCCATTTTAGTGCAAGGCAATGTTTTAGTTGACAAAAATTTTTAGCAATATTTGTCTTTTCAATTGAGGTTATTTTATGGCAAACAAAACAATCCAAGTACTAGATGTCCCTTTATAGAACATTTTGCCAGAGGAATATCTTAAGACACCAGGATTATCACTGAAGCCAAAGTACCAACTAGAGCCCAGATAGCTCAGTCGGTAGAGCATCAGACTTTTAATCTAATGGTCCAGTGTTCAAGTCCTTGTTTGGGCAGGGGAGAACAGTTCTACCTTATGATAACAATTTAAGTACTTTTAGCAGTCTCATCATACAAAAAGCTTTTTGCCAGAGGATAATCTTTAGGAACCAGGATTATCACTAAATCCAAAGTGCATTCAAGAGCCCAGATAGCTCAGTCGGTAGAGCATCAGACTTTTAATCTGAGGTTCAAGGGTTCAAGTCCCTGTTTGGGCGGGTAAGAACAAACTGACCTTTTGATAACACTTTAAGTACTCTTAGCAGTCTCATCATCCAAAAAGCTTTTTGCCAGAGGATAATCTTAGAAACCAGGGTGATCACTACAGCCAATAAAACAACTAGAGCCCAGATAGCTCAGTCGGTAGAGCATCAGACTTTTAATCTGAGGGTCCAGGGTTCAAGTCCCTGTTTGGGCGGGTAAGAACAAACCTACCTTTTGATAACACTTTAAGTACTTATAGCAATCTAATTATACAAGAAGCTTTCTGCCAGAGGATAATCTTTAGAAACCAGGATTATCAGTTAAGACAACACACCAACTAGAGCCCAGATAGCTCAGTTGGTAGAGCATCAGACTTTAAATATGAGGGTCCAAGTTTAATTCCCTGTTTGGAACAATCCACAGTTTCTTAAAAGAAAAGTATTGTAGGAGGTGGCCATCCTTAAGAAGGAAAATGTTCACTTAAACAGTATTTCTGGTAGAGTCTGTAGAGCAAATGTCTTCCATTTCAGTTCAAGGCAATGTTTTAGTTTACAAAAAATTTTTGCTATTTTTGTCTTTTTAATTGGGGTTGTTTTATGGCAAACACAACA